TTGATTTGGATCAGCCCTGCAACATTTCTCCAAGAGACAACAGAGGGATAAATAGAAGAGATACGAATATGGAACTAGGAGAAAAAGCCATCTTGAGTTTGGGTGGTGTGTTTTGAGGAGTGAATTTTGGCAACAAATGAATCAAGGAGCTTTGTGTTTTAGAGAAGGAGGGCCAGTAGGATTGCGCAGGGTTGGTGTGGATCCTATTTAGGGAGATATTTTTCTCTGAGCAATGAAAAATTTTCAAAGGATTTTCAACGTGGAGATGAGTGACAAAAGATTTGAATTTTTAAGGCTCTCATGAGATTTAGGTAAACTGGCATATAAGTCTTTGATGATGAATGCTTAGAAATCATGTTCCCAGCATGCTTTAAAAAACACAGCTCTTGGGAACCACTGATTTCAGGGTTGAATTAGTTTTTAAAAAACCAGATCACTACTTGAGGCTCAAATAAATATGAGTATCTTGAGAGGAAAAAAACTTTTTCCTATTCAAGTTAGTTTAAAAAGTTCTACTACCACTTTGCTGTGCCATGAATGCAATGTGTTTTCACTTAAGGATGGTGGAGGCAAAAACCAAGTGCATTTGTATGTAGGCCATGGAAATGCGTTTAGACAATCTGTGAACTACCTGCTCCCTCCTGTAAACCACCGCGGCTGAGGTTTATACATATCCATCTCCCCAGATGAACAAACAGTGGGGAGATACTGTGATTTGAGTGTGTTCCCTCAAAGCATGTGGAGTTGGGGCCACAGGGAGGTAGGTCACGAGAGGTCCACCCTACTGAGTAGATTCAGGTTTGAGATTAGAAGTTTCATCTTTCTTGTTCTTTTGCAGTAATGTCCGGCCACATTATGATGCAGCGTTGCAGCCCTGTCATCTTAACTTCCAGCTTTGAAACTCTGAAATCTTTGTTCTTTTATAAATTACCCAGTTTGTGGCATTCTGTTACAGCAACACAAAACTTAAGACAGTAGAATTCCTGGAAAAGTAAATGATTCCTTTCTAAATGCCACCACGATACCTGTTCTTGTTTTGTGCCATAGTACTCCATCTTTGAAAGGAGGGATGGTTGGGGGACATGGTTGATCAGTGATGAGAGACAGCTGATCAGTAGTGATGATTGGTGGTACACAGGGATAGGTTCATATCCCAAGTATTGTAGCATGGCTCCCAAGGAAAGATCATATTTGAGGATTTTTAAGGTATGGCTTCCACAAACCCAGGAGGTTAGGTGGTAGTTACTAATTTCCTCTTTTGGGCTCTAGAACTGTCCTTGATGGCATTAGTGGGCCACTGGAATTGTTTATTTTGTGAGAAGGTTCCATATGGTCTTTTGCTTCCATGGTCACAGAATCCTAGGAGATTGTGTTCCTTCATCTCTCCCAGGAGATTCACCATGTTTCTAGCATTGAAACACCATTCTGAGATGCTGTCTAGGGACCAGTAACTTGAGACCTTAAAACTGTGTTTTCCCAATGTTGTATTTCAAAGACAACCGAATTTGTGAGGGTGCTTCTTAGGTTATTGGGTCCCACTCCAGCTCTTCCGAATTAGAACTTTTGGGAGCAGAACTACATGCACTTCAAACAACTGCTGTACAAACTGAAGTTTGAAAACCATTCTCTGAAAAAAAAGAATGTGAGGTTATTTAAAGCAGTTTTCGAAGTGAATACTGAACACTGATGTTATAACCTTTTAATATTCTCTAAATATTGTTACATAAAGTGAATCCATGCTACCTTTTACAATTTCAACGAAACTGCTATATATATGCCTGGCGCTTTAAGATTTATCTTATTTTTATCCTTTCCACAATTTGTAAACCAGGAATTACAAACTCTTAAAGATCAAACAGAGAAAAAAACTTAGAGAAGTTTTAAATTTTAAATTGTACAAAAATTTAAATAGTGTACATTAAAGCAGTCAGAATAGTATAATGAACTTCGATGTACAGTTAGCTATTTTCAATTCTCAACATATAGCCAGTGTTTATGCTTCCTATCCACTTCCGCTCACCCCTGTATTATTTCTTTCCTCATGTTATTTTGAAGCAAATCCGAGACATAATTTCATCTTTTATCTTTTTTTTTTTCTTTTTGGTACCAGCTATTGAACCCAGGAACTTATCATTTAGATCTCATCTCTAACTATGGATTTTCAGAGAATCTTTCCAGGATATCTTCCTTATTGTATCGCCTAATTTCTTTTTCAAGGCACTCATTTATGTTCTGATATTATTGGGTCTCTTTCCCACTAGAATGTAAATTAGTACAACTTCTCACATCTGTTCATCCCTGTGTACAATGGTACACAACGGGATCTCAACATTTTTCCTTTAAGGTAATGACTGACCTCTACAGTGCAGAAACCAAAGGTCACTTTTTTCCTTCAATCTTTCAGCACCAGTGCCACTGTTGACCACTTTCTCTTTCTATCCACTACCGTATCACTATTCATCTGGCTTTAAAAAATTTTTTTTATATTTTTATTTTTTATTTTTTTTTAGTTTTTCATATGATGTCACATTTCAGATTCTTTTTAAGATCTTCTACTCAATGTGCAAACATTAGTGTCCCAATAATTTGAACCTGGGCCTTCTCTGCTGTTTAATTTCCCTCTCTATGTATTTCATTTTGTGGCATTAAACATTGTCTTCATATTTCTGTTTTTTTTTTTGAGACAGAGTGTTGCTATGTGGCCTCAAACTCACTGTGTAGATGGGGCTGACCTAGAACTCACGGTGATCCTCCTGCCTCAGACTCCTGAATGCTGGGATTACAGGCGTGCGCCACCAGGACTGACTTGGCTTTGTATTTTGAATGTAACTCCCAAATGTATCTTAGCTTTGTACTTCAGGTGCATATTGATGGAGACCACCCTGAGTGAGCTACAAATTCATAAGCTGGCTTTTCATATTAAAAGTCCGAGTCTGCCTATTAATCCACAGTGGCTTGTCTGAAGAGCCAGCAGTTGATTTGCCAGAACGAAACAACTCCCCACACCAATGGTTACAGTGGAGGTCTCAATGATTTGTGACTGTGTGATGTCTTGGATGGCAAGACAGTAGCGCAGCTAAGGGCGACATGACTCTCGTACATAAAACTTCTATAGAGGCAGAAATTAATCTATGGAAAAAACCAAATTTCCCACCAGTATGTATCCAACATCAGTGCCTGGATGCCGAACAGTGACTTCAAACTTAAACGTTGAGAGAATTGTATTTATGGAGTTCTAATCCTGGAGGTTCCTCTGGTTATATTCCTCCTCCACTGATGTAGTTTGCTTTAGTTATACTGGCCTTCGTCTTTTCTATCCCTCAAATTTTGTTTTAATCATGGTTGTATCCCCAGTGTCTAGCACAGCACCTGGGAGGTACTGCTGGGTGATGGTAGGTGCTCCATAAATACGGGTACTGACCAAGTTAATGAATGACTTCTTCAAAACACAAAGCCAGTGCTCTCTGATTTCTCTACCTGCTGCTGCTTTCTCATCATTCAGGTCTCTTGCTTCAAAATCACTTCCTCAGGCTGCACGTGGTGACTCACACCTGTAATACCAGCCTCAAGGCAGGAGGATCCCTGTGAGTTCGAGACCAGCCTGGGCTACATAGTGAGTTCCAGGTCAGTCTCAACTACATAGTGAGACCCTGTCTCAAAAAAACAACAAAACAAACCAAAACCAAAACCAACCAACAAAAAAAAAATCACTTCCTCAGAGAGGCCCTTCCAGAATTTAACTGAGTCTTTACTGGATTACCCTATTATACAGCATTTTCATAAATACATTTGTCAATATCCAGGATATTGTCTAACTCGTATATCATTTGTCCTATACTTCATCAATGTCAGCTCCCCGAGTAGAGACGCCTTGTATGTATCCTCCGGGCCTGACAGGTGCCTGAAGCACATCAGGCATGCAACAATGAATGAGTGCATGAAAGAAATCCAGGCCTCTCAGAGCTCAGAGAGTTGTTTTCACTGGATGGTTCTTATTTAGGTTCATATTTTTTCCTCTTGCTATTTTGTACTTGTCATAGCTTCCAGGAAAAGAAATATGTAAAGGTTTTGGGCTCTCACACAATATATTTCCTTGCTACCATTTGCCTGAATCTTCTCTGTATCACTATTTAACAAACAGGAACCGAATACCACGTGCCAGGGGCCTAGGTTAGTCCCTGAACAAAAATAGTTGAACAGTGCTCACGGATGTAGCTCAGAGGCACCGTGCCTGCCTTGCAAATGCAAGCTTCTGAGTTCAATCCCCAGTATTCCCCCAAAAGAAAGGTTGAACAAAGGATGATAATTTCTCTCGGGCAAGTCATTAAGATTATTGAAATATAAGGGCTGAAAATGCAGTGCCGCAACTGCCTTGCAAACGCGAGGTCCTGAGTTCGACCTCCAGTACCGGGAAGAAAAAAAAAATTATAAATATATGCGCCAACGAAATATATACATTACTTAACGATACGTTACGTAACGATACTTTTTTTTTTTTTTTTTTGGTACCAGGGATAGAACTCAGGACCTTGAGCTTGCGAGACAGGCAGCGGAACTGAGCTAAATCCCCGACCCTTAACTATACTTCTTAGAGTTGGCGTCCCGATGATCCCTGCCTCTCACACCGCAACATCTTCGCACTTAGCTTTCAAGACCCCAGACTAGACCCCTGGCCCAGGACACAAGTGAGCCAGCTTCCAGCCCTCGGCCCCACCCACACATTTTTAGTTTCACTCGGCTCCCATGGCCCCGCCCCTAGAAGCAGCCACTCACAGCTGCCCACGCACCGCAGCTGGAGTGACGTAGCGGTGACGGAGGTACCTGCGCAGCGCCTGCGGCTGCGGTCTGCGGCCAGCTCTTCTCGTCTCTGCCGGCCGTGTCAGGCGTCGCTGCGCA